CTAGTCTATTGTTGCTGTGAGCCACTCTTTCCCTCTTTTGATAATGAGTCTCCATAGGCTTATTTCCAGAGTTTATAATCTTTTAATCATGCTTTCCAAAATAAAACCATCCTCCATCCTACTATCAAAGTTATTCTTATAAATCACTAGTCAAATGATGTCACTTATCTAATTCTTAACTGCCTACAAGATAAAGATCAAATTTCTCAGCATGCCTTCAAAATCTTCTCTAGGGGAAGACTAACATAAGTTTGCAAACTCTTTTCTGTTTAGCTACCACTCTTTTCTTGCCCTAACCACCTGTATCCTACATTTGGCAACAATGAGCAGCTTGCCATTTCCCCAGCCATGCTCTTTTGTCTCCCACCATGTGCTTTTACATACTCTTACTCACCCAGTTATCTCTTCCCTGAAGCCTTTGCCAAGATGACAAGAGAAATTATCATAACGTCTTTTGTGCTTCCAGAGCTCTTGGTACGTGTGGGTCTTTAAATAAAATTTTTATTTGGAATATTTTTAGATTTATAGGAAAGTTGCAAAGATATTACAGAGAGTTCCTGTATACCCTTTGCTCAGTTTCCCCTAATGTTATAATCTAACACTACCATGGCATATTTGTCAAAACTAAAGAAACCTACGTTGGCACACTCCAGACTTTAACTAAACTCCAAACTTTATTTGGATTCCACCAGTTTTTCCACTAATGTCCTTTTCTGTTCCAGGATACAATGTATTTAGTCATCGTGTTGCTGATGTCCAATTTCTTAAGTGCATTGTCATATATATATGTGTGTATATGTGTATATATATATATATGTGTGTATATATATGTGTATATATATATATGTGTATATATATATGTGTGTATATATATATGTGTGTATATATATATATGACAATGCACTTAAGAATATATATATATATGTATTCCAGTTTTTTAGTTGTTTTGGTCAGGAGCGTAAACCTGGTCCCTGTTTCTCCATCTTGGCTGGAAGCAAAGTCTAAGTTTAGTTTCAAATAAAGAAAGATCAAAACATTTTCTTTCTGATTTAAAAAATATTTATCCTCCCATTTCAAGAGAAGTAAATTTGTTCAAAAATAAAAGAAAAATCTCTTTAAGTTAAAACATGGGCTCCCTTCTGGCATATGTCACTGTAGGGGAGGAAGAAATTTTCCTCTACCCTCTAGGTTCTTCTGGCTGGTCTAGGAATTAAATTGACATGAGACAGATTAGTAGGAGAAAATCAAATTTAATTCATTTTGTACAAACAGGAACCCTACGTACATGAGAAGTTCAGAGACAGAAAGGTAAAGTGAGGTATTTATGCCATCTTGAGCCAAGGAATGGGATAGGGGCTTGGGGCTTCAGACGGGAGGAGGGTAATTCACAGGATGATAAAAAGAGCAGATGTTCAGTAATTAGATGCTTGTCCTATCATACAGATAGGTCATAAAAAGGTTATTTCTGGTAATTACTCTCTCTATAGGCAAGGCCCTTAATTTAAATTCCTCAAGAGAGAGGTAGAAGTTTCTCTGGAGCCCGCAGAGTTTTGATTGCCTTCAGCCCAAAATATTCCACATGTCGAAGTGGCACATCTTGGGGCAGCTTGCTCTGAACCCCATCATCACCAGTATAGCTTAATTTTAATTTAAATAAAATAGTCTTGTGCAGTTACTTGGAGGTCTGCTGGAAACCTGATAAAGCCATTGCCATTTTGTTAACAGATTCCACATATACCTGCAATCCATCATATCACTGTTTCCTTTCTCTCTTTATGCAAATCTCCCTCGCTTGCAAAAATGGATGGAGACCGGAAATTTACTAAGAAATTCTTTCCTATCTGATTAAGTGGCATATGAAAATAAAGTGGATCCATGTTGATTCACACTAATCTATTGCCTTGGCTTTGCAAGTGTCACTCAGCATGGCTCATGGCCCTAGCAAGCACTGCAAGAGAGGAAAATAGGATAAAGCAAAGGTGAGAAAACAAATTAAACCAAATGTCAACTTAAAGAAAAAAATGTGTTAATGTAATTTGCCACATTAAGAGATTAAACCAGAAAACACTTATGCTCATCCCATAAAAACATGTGATAAAGATCCACACCCATTGGTGATAAAAACTCATAGCAGAGATTAGAAAGAAACTTCTTTAACCTGATAAAAGTCACCTACCAAAACCCTACAACAAGCATGCTAATGGGGAAAATTAGAACATTTTCCTTAAAAATTATGAATTATACATTTTATTTCTACTTCTATTCAACACTGTACTGCAGATCCTAGCCAATATAGTAAGACAAGGGAAAAAAAACTCTATAAGCATTGAAATGAAAGAAGCAAAAATTAGTATGTGCGGTTGTAATGATTGTTTGCAAAGAAAAAACCCCAAAATATCTACATTAAAATGATCAAAATTATCAAGGGAGCTGGATAGAAAATCAATATCTAAAAATCAATTTCATTTCTATACCTCGGCAAGAAAGAAATAAGAAATGGAATATTAAAAGTTACCTTTTACAAAAGAAAAAACAAATTTGCCAGAATAAATATAATAAAAAATGTGCAACATTTTTATGGACAAAAGTATAAAACTTTTTTGAAGGCTATTAAAGAAGGCCTAGGGCCGGCCCCATGGCTTAGCGGTTAAGTGCTCGCGCTCCGCTGCTGGCGGCCTGGGTACGGATCCGGGCGCGCACCGACGCACCGCTTCTCCGGCCATGCTGAGGCCGGGTCCCACGTACAGCAATTAGAAGGATGTGCAACTATGACATACAACTATCCACTGGGGCTTTGGGGGAAAAAAACAGGAGGATTGGCAATAGATGTTAGCTCAGAGCCGGCCTTCCTCAGCAAAAAGCAGAGGATTAGCATGGATGTTAGCTCAGGGCTGATCTTCCTCACACACACACACACACAAAAGTAAAGAAGGCCTCAACCAATAGGAAAATCTACTGTATTTACTGATAAGGAGACTCAGAATCATGAGGTTGTCAGCTCTCCCCAAATTATTTATCTATGGATTCGATATAATTCTAATCAAAACCCAAAGTTTTTTCACGGAACATGACAAACTGATTTTTTAAATTTATGTGGAAAAGCAAAGAATCAAACCAAGAGGATCTTAAAACAGAACTAGGCAAGGGAGAAGGAAAGCAGGAGCTTGTTCTACAGGATGTTAAGATTTCATATGAAGCTACCATCACAAAGATGAGTGGTATTTGCACAAAAGTAGACCAATAAACCAATGGAACATAATAGAGAGTGAGAAACAGACCACACTGTGTTAGTGAGGGTAATCCTTGATTATGCTATAACGCCTAACACACCATGAAATAGCTTTACTTGCCACAACAAAAGTTTATTTCTCACTCATATCACCAATTGATGGAGGTCACAGGGCTCTCCCTGGTGCTCTCCTCCGACTTAAGAGATCTGGGCTGCTTCCATTTTGCAAATGCACATCTTGGAGTTCTTTGCTTCCAGCCACAGGAAGAGAGAGAACATATGCACGTGAAAACCCCCATCTGCTCTTAACTGCAGCACACCACTCCCACTCACATTCCTGTTGTCAGAACTCAGGCACCTGGTCTCAACACAATCACACGGAAGGCTGGGAAATGTAGTTTTTCTGTGTGCGCGGGAAGAGGAAATGGTGTGATGAACCAGCATGGTCTCTGCCAAAGAGTGTGAAAACTTATCTATGACAGAATTGGCATAGCTGATCCCCGGGGAAAGTATTAACTATTAATAAATGATGCTTAGAAGAAAAAAAGAAACTCAATTCCTTCTTTACTCTGCACACAATTTTGTAATGGATTAAAAACTTAAATGAGAAAGTCAAAAGAAATATAGGAGAATATCTTTATGACCTGGGGATTGGGAAAGAGTTCTTAATACACAAAAAAAGCACAAACCTAGAAGGAAATGATGGATGAAATATGTCATAAAGAAAGAGAAAATACAAACTGGTAGAAGATATTTTCAATACATATAATTGACAAAGGATTAGTATCTAGACTATAGAAAGAAATTATACTAGTTGATTGTCACAGAAAATAATTGAATGTAAACAACTGTACTTCATTGGTAAGTCAGAAATTTAAAATCACAAGAAGGTTCCATTTCACAATCATTAGATTGGAAAAGTTAAAAAGTCAGAAGGCATCAAGTGTTAGCAAGGAGGAGCTATAGGAATTCTTTTCTACTACTGGTACAGAAAGTTTGAGAAATAATTTGACATTATTCTATGAAACTAAAATTGTGCATACCCCCCAAGAAGTAGCAATTCCACTTGTAGACAAATTCTTGCACCTGTGAACTATGGCTAGATACTTCAACATAGATGATAATCTTGAAAATACAATGTTGAGTGAGAAAACAAGATACAGGAGAGTACACATAGTATACCATTTTTATAGAGTTAAATCAAGCAAATATAAGGATATTTTAAGAATCCACACATGCAAGCATTCATACATGCGTTTAAGAATCCATACTGTAAAGAAAAGCAAGGTAATGAACAAAAGTGAGAATTTGAGGTAGTGGGTACCTTTGGGGATGTGACAGGGGCCAGAGCGGGGAGGAGCCCACAAGGAGCTTCAATGACACTAGTAGAGTTGGATTTCTTAAGTGGGGTAATGGGTTCCTAGGTATTCATTTTATTATATAATAAGCTAGTGTTTGCATAAATATTTCCTTATGCTTCATATATTTAATTTTTAAAATTAAAACACACACACACTTACGAGAGAAGAAAGAAGTACTCTGCAAACTGACTGCCATTCAAGAGAGCTGTTGATTTTGCAATTGCTTAGGAGCAGAAAGAATGAAAGAGTATATGTTCTCTTTTTAACACTTAGTCTGTAGCAAGATCCTCTTTCCTTTTAACATTTTAGGTTTGTTTTCCTTTTACGATTACCTAGAAGCCCTTCTCAGTATAATTTATCTCATTTCCACTTTTTATTTAACATCAAAATCCTGTTTTATTCTTTCCCAGTGGCCAGGTTTTATCTGCTCTTCCTAGGACCTCTCGGCAAGCTGAAATCCTGCAGAATCTTACTACAACATATGAGGTAATTTCTTCCTCATTTATCTTTATATTGGTTTCATTTTGTGTAAGTATTGTGTGCCATGCTCTCTCTTCTATGTTGTCTGATATATATAGCTAGTATAAACCCCTCTTCTCATAGCCTTCTCCCTCTTCCCATAATCACAAGATTTTGCTGGTTCCCAAAATCAAACCTTCTTCATTTGCTCTATTGGCTTTTCAGCCAGTTGCACGTAGGTCCTTGGGATTGAAAGTGTGTACTTACAAAAATGTTACGATAACAGAAGTCCAATGGAAATTTGCTTATAAAACAATGGTTCTTAACCAAAGAGTAGGCATTAAAAACATAAGGGAAAATTTTCCTGCCTGGGACTCATCTCTCCAGAATGTCTAAGGTGTAGAAAACTGACAAGAGTTACAAAATATCATGGTAGACAACTGAGGGCTCCATGTTTGCTTGCTATCGTTCTCCAAGAAGCAGACATCAAAACCAGGTTAAAGATTCAAGAGAGAGATTTGTTAAGGGGAGTGCTTGTGAAGGATGAAGAGGAGGGAGCTGGAAGTGGCAGGGAGCACTTTCAAACCATGATGTAGCTCTGACACCTGTGCAGAAAAGAAAATTGTGCATGGAGAACCTTTAGACTGCAGGGCAGTTCCAATGAAGGTTTGACTAGACCAATCCTTAAACCAAAGTCACCTGTAAGAGAAAACTCATATCTCTCCGGAAAGGGCCTGCAATAATATGCCCACAGTGCTCAGTCATCGGCTGCCTGCAGCCCTGGGGCAGCACAGATTCAGCCTCTGGTGGATCAAGAGGGGCAGCAAATGAGAAGGTCAGTCAACTATGCTCCTTCCAACAGAAAAGCTGAGAGGTGCCTTTTCATGGCCACCATGGACAGAGGAAATACCACCAGAAGAAGGAAGCATCACGGATTTAGAATTTAGTTCTTGTTCTGCTACTTCCTAGATGTGTGATTTTAGACAAGTTAGCTATGGGCCTTAATCTCTTCATCTGAACAACGAAATAATAACATCTGTCTAGTCTACAACAAAGTGTAATTATAATGGTCAAAGGAAATGAGTGCTTTGAAAAAGTGCCGTAAAGTAGAAAAAAAATGTAAATATTATTGGAAGGCATTGCCCAAGGTTCATAATTATAACAAAGAAAAGGAACACTGACATGATGATAATATCAAAGACATGGAATTTTTATTAAAGAAAATCAACATTTAACCAACTTTCCTCCTAGACAAAATTTCATTTCTCTTTTAAACATCTGACATACACATCCAGTTTTACAGTTGGGTCGTAAGTATATTCATTCACTCATTCATTCTTGTGTCACCAAATATTTATTGAATGCCCCCTATATTCCAGGTCCTCTTTGGCAACTGGGGTTACCAAGAAGAAAACAAGCTCCCTGCAAAATAAATGTTTATACTGCCATGTGTGTGAACGGGGACCAGTGGCCGGGAATTGCCTTTTTCATTTCCCTTATAGACACACTTTTATGGCTTTAGCTACAGATATGAATGATAGGAACAACTGTTTTTGTTTCATCAATTTCTCCCCTTGAAACTGCAGATTGTTCTCTGGCAGCCAGTAATGGCTGAATTTATTGCCAAGAAAAACGAAGTCCATTTTTTTGTGAATGCATCTGATGTAAGCAATGTGAAAACCCATTTAAATGAGAGCAGAATTCCATTCAGGTAGGCATCATTCAATATTTATTGAGTAGCTATTATAAGCACGTAGGATGCATTTTACTAGCAGATGGTATAATTGCTTCCTGGAAAAATAAATACTTAACATTAAACACGGCAACCTGGAAATCTCTGACATGGACTGGTGATGGAGCCCAAGTGGATACTTCTGTGACATTGGACAAGTGGTTTAACCTCTCATGACCTTGGTTCCCTATCTGAAAATGACTCTTAGATTCAATGATCTGTGGAGCCTCTTATATTTCCTCCTAATTCCTTCCTTCTTATAGTTCCTCTACACTGTGCCCAGGCTAGGGGAACAAAATTGTCACTCACCATAGTAGGCTTTGTATTATCTCTTGAAAAAGCAGCTGCAGAAGGGGATTTCGCTTCCATTACAAGGTCAGTGAACATTCCTGAATGTCCAGCCCTAAACTAAAAATTGTTATTGAGGCACTTTCTGTGCAGAGTCCACGCTCTCTTCCTTTCAGTTGTCCTGTCCAACATATCCTTTCTGTATCCATTGCCCAAGTGCTAGTCTTCCTCCTGCTGCCCTAGCACTTCCTAGAGGCCATTCTCTCTTCTGGGTATCAATGTGCAACCTTTGGATAATACACTATGATAGTTACTAATAATGTGTTATAGGTGTTCACTGCCTTCCAGGATCTGTGCTGAGCCTTTCTATACACTGCTTCATTTAATCCTTATTTAACCCTGTGAGGAAAATACTACCCTCATTAGGCAGGTGAAAAAATTTTTCATACTTACAAAGGAATTTCTCAAGGTCAACCAGCTGGAACATGGCAGAGAGAGCAGTTGAACTCAGACTTATCTGATGTCAAAGCCTAGGCTTTTATCCATTGGCCTAAAAAATAGTAAAATGATATAAAAATGATAGCTAACTTTCAAATTGTTCATCCCAGGTGATCGGACAGCTTAATTTAGTTAAAAAGTTTACCTAGTTAACAGCGTGGCAATTCTCAAGAGACATTAAACAAGATGCCTTTCCCATAACTTCCCTTTTGCTGTGCTTCTATCTCTCTAGAGATTTGATAATCTTTGTCTATGCAGAACATCTGGTATAGGTCAACGGTTGTCACAATAAAAAACAAAAAAGAAAGACTTTCTGCTTCTCCTTGGTCCTTAACTGAAACCAGAATAATACAGTGTTACTCTGGATTGAAGAAAGTTGTCTGTTAACCTATATGTTCACATAAAAGACACTGATGAATCACAGTCAAGAAATGTGGATAATGGTGGAGAAAGGGTGAGTTTTTGGAGGCCCTGAAAACAGAGCACACACAAGCTACTGTCTCTTCACTGCTCATATAGACTCCACCAAGAAGAGGGTTTGTGAATTTCAGCTTCCTGCAATGTTAGGTGGTGTTGTTTTCACGTCGATGAACTTTTGCTTGTTAGATTTCTTAGTGATTATTCCCCATGCTCACCTGTCGTACCTGCAATGAGCCATGCGGGATAATCGGAGCCCTGTTTGGAAACCAGCTCGCCCTCTGTTTCATCACCTAGTGTCTTGGTGGGAGATGTGGAAGAGCTTATCCGACAGCAGACTTCCAACGACACAGTCAACCCCCGGGCCTCCTCCTCATACTACGAACAGTATCACTCGCTAAATGAAGTAAGCTGTCACATTTCTCCAAGACTACTATTTTCGCTTAATCAGCATCGCCATTTCAATCATGGGAAATTATTAAAGAATCATAATTGGTGGGAGAGGGTAAAAACAATCACAATTAGGTTGATCATACGGTGGTAATTCACCCTTTGGTCGATATCTTGCCTAGGAAGATTGCATCATATCTGGTAAACTGCCTCTGAGCAGGCTGTTTGTCTACAGCTAAGAGTATCTCTAACTGCTAGGAGTAACCCTGCATGGTAAAGAACAACAGGAAATTAAAAATAGGGCCTTTTTGTTGAAACTGCCGCAAAAAAATTAACAGTCCAATTAATCATGTCTCTTTGGACCATTACTCTGATTATACTCTTGCTGAATAATTGCCACATTATCTCACTAAATTAAGGAATTTATTCACTTATAGTTAGTACACTATAAATAAGTGCATTTTATTCCCCTTAGAAGGAACTTATTTAAACTCATAATAATAATGATAATAATAATGCCTCTCTTTTAATCTTTAGGAAATTGATGTTTTCTATCAGTACTTACAGGTTCCAGTTTTTCTAGAGGGAACCTGAGCAAGATGTCAATGTTCAGTTGACCTCAGTAAGCTTTCACAGAATAACTAAGAGCCATTTCCCCATATTTGTTAGTTGAAAGGGTAAACCCCTTGTAGGACGTTCTTTGTTATACAGTATACTTCAAGTAATAAAAATTCCTTGACACCTTTTATTCTTTCATAGGAGTATGCTGCTTTATTGCTTAATATAAATGTTTTTATCATCTTTGACTAGGTGCCCAGAAACTGTTAAGGACCATATTCATGTTTTTAAGACATCTGAGACTTAAGTAATAGGAATCAATTTTCTATTTGATCTTCAAAAGCATCTGTTCCTTTCCAGTTAGTTAAACCAGAACTCAGTCTGCTTTTAGGATCAATGTGGCTGGCTGATTGATGGGGACCTTAAAATTGCAGCCCCTTCCATTATCTCTCTTACCTTGCCTCTGTCTATTGTGCCTAGACGGCCTCCCTCCAGCATCCATCATCAGCCCTGCATAGTAAAACTTGATGCCCAGAGTTGAGAGGCTAGGTAGGCATGATTTGCAAAATGGAGTAGGTAAATATGTCATTACTGTGTTGAGTTCCATGGGAAGAGGAGAATGCCTTAAACAGAAGTATTTTAAAATATATTTTAATGATTTTCTTCAAAAAGGTTATTTTTTCTTACCCTATCCCCAGGAAAGAGTTGAAAAGGCATGGGAGGAAAAAAAAATTACCTGACTGTATTAGTTTGCCATGCACTGTATTAGGCTGCCGTAACACAGTACCACAGACTGGGTAGCTTAGACCACAGAAATGTATTCTCTCACAGTTCTGGAGGCTGAAAGTCCAAATCAAGGTGTCAGCAGAGTTGGTTTCTCCTGAAGCATCTCTGCTTGACTTGCAGATGGCTGCCATCTCACTGTGTCCTCACATGGCCTCTTGTCTGAGTGTGCACATCCCTGGTGTCTCTCTGTATCTCCTAATCTCCACTTCTTATAAGGGCACCAGTGAGGTTGGTTTAGGGCCCACACTAACAGCCTCATTTTAACTTAATCACCTCTTTAAAGGCCCTATCTCCAAATACAGTCACATTCTATGGTAGTACGAGGGATTAGGACTTCAACATATGAATTTTGCAGGGAACACGATACAATTCATAACAATGACATTCCAGAAAATATTTTAGACTTCTCCTTGCTCCTACTCCCAATCCTTTCTAAGAGGTTCATAGGAACCACGACAATCTTGCTCTTAGGAAATTCCACCAAGTCCTTCCTTCTCCTTCAGCACTGATCTCTCCTCCAGCCTTCACCACAAGGTCACCTGGTAGGCAGAAGGGGTTCTTTTGTTACTGACTTTCACAGGAAATTTTAAGTAATCCACTGTAGAGAGAAAAACAAATGGCCAAAGAACAGTTCTTAATACAAACGGCAAAAGAACAGAGTTTTCGAAGAATGTTACCTTCGTTACCCCAGATTAGATTGTTAAATGAATCAAGTTTTCTGTAAAGCTGCCTTCATACAGCACACCCTACCCCACTGGATGAAATCTACTGAACCATCAATGCTGTAACACAAAATAGCTTAATGTAATAGTTCTCTCAGCTGTATTCATGCCTTACAAGAGTAACACAGTAAACAGAGGCCCAATGAGGAAATCCCTGATGGCTAATTTTCCAACACCTCAGACACTGACAGCATCGGTATTTGGTGGCAGGTAGACCTTCCAGAAGCATCTTAATTCCTAGCACAGGACAACCACTCACACATACCAATCACTCTAGTTATGCTACTTCAAGAGGACCCAAGGGTAAGTGGTGCTCCAGTGCCCATCTGCTGGGAGTACTATTTGAAATTACCTCTAGAAACATTCCCAGAAATAAGGCCAAAGGTTGGTCATTCCCATTTCAGAAGGTATAAAAATTTAAGTATTGCCCCTGAGAAGCTGGTCTACATTAATACATGACTGATTTCAGACCCAGAATTTTTATTTGTTTTTCTTTCTACCATAATCATGACAGACTCACAAACACCATTAGATTCCCAACCAGGAGAGAGTCCAGAACCAAACTCCTTCTCAGAGGAGAAGAGAATTTTTTTTATCCGGATTCCCTCACCTTTGCCTCTCATCATTTCACAGATCTTGTGAGTGCACAGATTTCTAGTGGAAAATAATGGCACTGCCATTTATCCTGTGCAAAGACAGTGCCTAGGGCTTCCTTAGGTTACTCTCGAAAAGTGAATATTTAAAAAAAAAAAGTCCCATATAAAAGTGAACTCTTGAATAAGTGGTAAACAGAATTTCATACACAGAGGCAGGGAATCAATGTAATGAGCCTTTAAAAATAACTTCCAGGAGACATACTTTAAAGATTAACTTTTCCTACCATGTCATAAATTTCTTAGTGCTTTTCCACTCTTTCTCTAAACCTTGATACTTTTCAAAACTTTAATTTTATTGATTTTCCTAAACAGCAGAAGAAACACCCTGTTCCAAGTGTTTTAGTTCCTCATTCTTTCCACATACAAAGGTTTTAGAGGGATCTTCCCTTGAAGAAGTCGTCTGCTTCTTTTTTTGGTCAGGGAAATGCTTTGAACTTGCTCTGTGACTGACAGCTGGTTTCTGTTTTGATAGATCTATTCTTGGATAGAACTTGTAACTGGGCAGTATCATATGCTTGAAAAAATCCACATTGGATCCTCATATGAGAAGTACCCACTTTATGTTTTAAAGGTATATTGTGGGGGGAGTCATTGATCTTTCAACTTTGGGGGATGTGTTAATTCTCAGCAATGCTTGTTATAACTTGGATTTTTTTCTTTGAGTTCTAGAATATTTGTGTTTCAAGAGTTCCTCAACTTTATTATCTAGCTATTTAGGGATTGGTTATTACCTTTAAATTTTTTTCTTTTATTAATGCAGTGTTTGTCTGAGTGGAAACCCCACTTTTAGAATCAACTCTATCTCTGTTTACGTGACATAGATAAGCCATTTAACCTTCCTGAGCTTCATTGCCTACCTCCACAAAATGAGGGGAGTGGTCTGGATTATTTTTCAAGTCCTTGTTTTATTTATATCACCACCACCACCACCACCACCACTGCCTCTTACTGGCTTACTTAGGTAAAAGAAATAAAAGGAGAGGAATCTGTTATTGGACAAACACTGACACTGATGCAGTTTTGAGAACCAAACAAAGAGCTGAACAACTAAACAGGGAAGGATAGGAACCAGGGTAATGCTGGCGTCCTTCGCAGTAGTCTGATATGATTGCTTCTGCTCCAATCACTGTGTGTTTGGTTATTTATTTTCAGCTGAATAATAGGCCTTAGTAAAGGTCAATGAATATGGCCACAGGAAGAATTTTGGGGAGCCAGGAAACCATACTAATTCTTGCCTGTTAATTTCTAATTCTGCAGTTCTATTTTTTATCACTCTCTCCCCTAAAAAAAAAAAAAAAAAGAAAAGAAAGAAAAGAAACAAAACTCTCTGGAAAAAATCTAATTGTTGGAAAAATACATTTGGTTTAGTAACATTTAATTTACACATAGTTTCCCAACATTCTCTAAATTGCAAAAGGTGAGCCTCTTCTGTCACCCAAAGATAAGATTTTGAGTCAGGATTTCTGGGTTTTAATCTGTTCTAATAAGAATTTGCCAACTCAAGGCAGACATACAAAACATTGGGTGGTCCTGGTGGCTGAGTCAGTCAATTAGTTTGGATCCATGTGATCAGGGCATACCCACCCATGATATTTGTTTTCAGCCGTGTTGTATGTACTCTTTGGAACTTGTGTTTCTGGACCTAGATGTACATGTTGGAAAATCATGCTTCCTGCATGCTTTAGTCCCACTCTTACTTGATCAGGGATGTGCACGTAATGTGACTCTCTGGGGTACCTCCATCTTACCAGTGTCAGGACCTGTACCAAAAGAGTTTGCTCAGCATAGTTGCACAGAAGGTGGAGTAAAGCATCTAGTCCAGAAAACTCAAGAGTTTCTTTAAAATTGAGTAGATTAAATCAGCCAGGTAGTTCTCCTCTTTGTACAGTTTGACCCTTTGCAGCCAAAATTTGACTTTCTCACTTGCTTTCTGATTGGATATCACTAGCTCCAGGCTAGTTAGGAGAAAACTTCCCTGAGTGAAGTAGATGGTAATCTAAAAATATCACTTTCTCTTTTTGTCATTTGGGAATTTCAACCCCGCAAGATTTGCTTGATTTTACAACACTCTTCTCCCTTCCCTCCATTCCCTAAAATTGTGTTATAACTAATTCTTAAAAGTAAATGAACTATGATTCATTTTGTTTGGAGGTGTATTGAGAATTCTTCTGAAGACATCAAACGCTATTATTGAGGAAAGGTTGGGAGTTCTTATTCCAGAGAGTTGGCAGCTTGCACTAGCCCCCCCTACTCTGCGTCAGAACAAGGCCTTTGTTCCCTGATCTGTTGGTAACAAGTTGGTGAAAAGTTAGATGAGTGTTTCTTTTTGTGTGTAATGGAGAAGTAGCCTGCACATAGTGTGCAGGCTAGGGAAAATGGTGAGGAAGTCTAAGTTTATCTTTGGCACCACTGGCTTTCCTTTCCCAAGCCTTTCCCTGTTCCACACTTGACACAGAAAGCTGCCCACCCAACACATACCCATTTAATTCTAACTGAAGTGTGAAGATATGGCCTAAAGTACTAGTTCTCTGGTCTCTACTTCTACATTTCCATACGCAGCCCTGGTATGACTAGGTAACTGTGGGGGAATAAAAAGAGCTTTAAATTAAGAGTCCTGCCTTCAAATCTCAGTTCCAACTCTCACCAGCTATGTGACCTTAGGTAGTATCCTCTAGTCACACCAGTTTTTAATTCCCAAAGGAATGCAGAGAATAATGCGTATTTCATAGATTCATTGAAAGGATTAAAGTATAAGCACTATATAAATGGATGTTAATGTCCTGAGGCTTCTTGTTATTGTTTTTGATTTTCTTTGAGCAGGTTTCTAGAAAAGAACAAACAGCCAAAAACGCCATATGGATTGACTGTGGAATCCATGCCAGAGAATGGATCTCTCCTGCTTTCTGCTTGTGGTTCATAGGCTACGTAAGTATTCATATTCTCTTAAGCTAGAGTTTCCCAGTATGTGGCCTAAGACCACCTGCATCAGAATCAACTGGGCTGTTTATTAAAATACATTTTCCCAGGTCACATCCTAGAATTCTTGACTTTAAATCTCTGGAGATGAGGCTTGGGAATCTACAATTTCATAGGCTTCCTGGGTGACTTTTATACATATTAACTTTGAGAACCATGACTTCGAGCATTTAAATCACCCTAAAGATTGTTGACCTTTTCTTTCCCACATTTCTGGCTGGGGCTAAACACTGGAAAATAATTAGGAAATAGTATACAACTGTAATATGTTTACTAAGTAGAAGAAAGAACAAAAGCAATTATCTAAGTTGAGTCCCAATTAATTTCTTTTTCTTTTGATTTGAATTATCCAGACGTCTTTCACCATATTCTGCCCTTGGAAATTGAACATAAAATACAACATTACAGAGCAGATCATATTTTCCCATATGTCATAATAGGAGATTTTGTCCTGGAAGGAGGCCTTGACATCAAAAAACCCATATATAAGAGAGCGTATGTCATAAAAGTAAAAATTATAATGACTTAAAACTTCTATAATAAATGGAAACAGTAAAAATTATGCTTCAGATCCTATAAAATGAGCATATATGTCCTCTGCACTGATTTAAACAAAGAGCCATTGCCACTGGAAAAATAACTTAAAATATGTGCCCTTGTGATAATGGCTATTGTCGTCTCTGTATTCACAGAGATGCAAAAGAGACAACACTAAAGAGATGAGTTAGGAAATTAAGAGATTGCCACTTAGGGGCTGGCCCAGTGGTGTGGTAAAGTACGCATGCTCCACTCCAGTGACCCAGGATTCACAGGTTCGGATCCCGGGTGCGGACCTATGCACCGCTTGTCAGGCCACGCTGTGGCAGGCATCCCACATATAAAGTAGAGGAAGATTGGCATGGATTTAGCCCAGGGCCAATCTTCCTCAGCAAAAAGAGGAGGATTGGCAACAGATGTTAGCTCAGGGTTAATCTTCCTCACCAAAAACAAAAAAAAGAGGTTGTCACTTAGATTGATCTGTCTTAACAAATAAGGTTCATCAAAGGTAAAAATATTTCTGCCTCTGCTTGGTCTGGACAAGTACATCTATACCTACCTTCATTTGCCTTCTCATCTTCTCTTCCCCACCAACGGGAGCTGCAGTATCCCTGAGCCTACTGAAAAGTTCCCTAACATCAGACCCTTAACACAGCCTAGTCTTTGATGATCTGGAACCTTCTCCAAGTTGGGTAATTTTATTCATTTTAGATAATGAAGGGAGTAGCAGTTAGTGGAGAGAGAGAAATGTGCCAAGCAAGAGAGAAAGAACATTTATTTTTCATTCCATCACTGAACCTGAAAAGGACCAGAAAGAAACTCCAATTCATATTGACTGATTCATCTTGGTGAAGTTGTCCCTAATTGTTGTCCTTCCTACTCTGATACATTTTCCCTTCTATTACACATTACCCTCTACCCCACTCACTTGCTGAATCTTTGTAAGATTAAGCTTTTTATTGTACAAATATTTATAAATTGCCTGTGAGGTTCCAGACTCTGGAGACACGATGGGAAACAAGATAGAGCTCAAGAACCTTACAGTCAGGTATTTTATCCCAACATAAGCCTGATTTTTGTAGCCCAAGCCAACATAGTCAGTAAGCTCTTTTCAAAGGACATTTAAAAAGCTCCATTCTTGCCTGGCTAAAACTAATCCAGATCATCTGATTTTCATAATGGTTCAAACAACTGTAGGAAGAAAAATAAAATAAAATATTTAGCTTTAAAAAGATTTGTGTGGGTAGATTTTATATTTAAAAAGTAAAGCACCCAAAGATGATTTGAAGTCTCAGCTTTTAAGTCTCAGTAAAGAAAACCTACACTTCTCCCATGTTTCTCCCTTACTCTCACACTACTACCACACTCACAGCACTTCTGACACCAGACGTACAGGGGTTTTCCCCACACCAAGCAATTCTGTGACACCAGCTGGGTGTCCTACAATTGAGTGTCCTCAATTCTGGCACTATCTATCTGGAGATAGCATCAGATGGCACAGGTTAAGGGCTCAGTCCCATGAGATTGCCCCTTCCCAACTTCAGATGCCAATTGAAAGTCTGGGTTGTTATCTGTGCTTCTGACCTATCAGTTTTAAATAGAGGTTCCCGCAACCCTCTCCTCGGGTTCAATTAATTTGCTAGAGCGGCTCATAGAACTCAGAGAAACAGTTTATTATAAAAAGATGTGATAACGGATACAGATGAACATCCAAATGAAAGAGATACATAAAGCAAGTCATGTGGGAAGAGGGTATGGAGCTTCCATGCCCTCTCCAGGCACACCATTCTCCTAGCACCTCTATATGTTCAGCAACCCAAAAGCTCCCTGAACCATGTGCCTTTGGGATTTTTATGGAGGCTTCATCATGTATTCATGATGGGTCATTAACTTAATTTCCGACCCCTCTCCGCTTCCTGCAGGATGGGGGATGGGGCTGAAAGTTCCAAGCTTCTAATTATGGCTTAGTCTTTCTGGTGACCAGCCCTCATCCAGAAGCCCGCCCAGAGTCACCTCATTGGAACGAAAGACACTGCTGTTACCCAGGAAATTCCAAGAGATTTAGGAACCCCATGTCAGGAACCAGGGTCAAAGACCAAATATGAGAACAAAAAATGCTCCTAGTGCTCTTCTCACTTAGGAAATTACAAGGGATTTAGGAGCTCTGTACCAGGAACCAGAGGAGGGGTGGGGCAGAAACCAATATGTATATTTTCTATTATCTCACAATCTTTCACTCCCTTCTCCAGCTTAGTAAGGATTTTTTAAATTTTATAGTCCAGTCTCAGCTGTAGGAAACCCATTACTCTACATGTAGGGGAGCTTGAGGCCAGTCATTTCTCTCTATGCCTCTGCTTGATCCTCTGGAGGCCAGATTTAGGATTCTTCTCCACCTGCAAAGTCAGGGGCTGAGGCTGACTTGTGCATGACGGCATCACCAAGGCCAAACCCAGCACCGAGTCTGGCACATTCTAGGAGCCCAATGAACGTGGGTTGACCATCATGCCTTGCTCAGTACTTTGTCCACCAACTGGAGAACTTTCATTTAATTGCACACAAAGTTGACAGTCTACAACCTCAGGGTCTCCACAGAATTGCTTCTGCTGCTCCTCATCTTAGCTGACACACACCTAGTGACGGACACAGCTTCGTAGCAGCTCCATCAAGTAGAGGGGCTGCTCTTTCCCTTCATATCTCGACATGCCAGGGAACGAGGAGGAGCGGATCAACATTCTCCTGTCCTAATACTGCCATTGCTCTCCCAAAACTCATGACCTGATCTGGTCGAACCACCTTTGTCTTTTCTTATTACTGTCATCTATCAGCCTCCACATAATCCCCTGGAACCTGGTTCATGATTCTTTATTCCTCTCCAACACTAGCCATCATTCTAAGTGAGTTCAAAGTCCATATGTGAGACCCATCTAATGAATCATCTTTTCAACCCCTTGAACTCTACATTGCTAAACCTAACCTCAACTCTGTTTTAATAAATTTTTCCCATGGCCATTCTCTGGATCTCAAAAGTAATTCTCTCCCTGATCCTTAGATCCAGAATATGGCCATGGACAGCAACGAGAAAGGATAAGAGGAACCGCTTAACAATCTGATTTCTTAACTTCCTTTCCTTCTTCTCTCATTCCTCACACCTGCTGTGTATGCTTTTTTTTTCCTTTAGTAGATTTCCAGTCCTTGGATATATCTACTTCTTCTAATTTATCAGCAACTTTCCAGGTATCTCTTCCTTCACTAACCAGCCAGAGTCCCATCACAAACCACCCATTCACTTGTATCCTGAATTTCTTGCCCCCTTGATATGCTTTTCAAGAATTCCAACCCCATACACCCCACAGAATTAACCATTCTTATGAGCCACTTTGTACATCCTGATTTTATTATTATACTCATAACATTGAATTGTTGCTCTTTCCTTTCCAACTTAACACTTTCATTAGCTTTTTGAGGGCAATGATCATCTCTGAAGTCGTTTTCTTTTTGTTTCCATAACCCAGTATATTGTTTGGTCCGCACAATCACTGCTCAACATCCCCTTGTTACATTTGAAATTTAAATTAATGCTGCAGGTTTAGGTTGAAATGCAACTCTGCAGTCCAGAGAGAACCTAAAGAGTACCTACCACTGGGCTAAATACTTTATTGCCATTAGATAAGGTCTGAATTATACACATGTACATAGAGATTAGAGTAAAAACTGGGACTTGTAGCTCTTTGCGGTATTCCTAATGGTATTGAGAGTAGCAGTTTATTTTAAAATCATCCATTCGTAGTGTCGTATATGACTTTAGTAGTAATTTATTCTTTGTCAAATGGTTATTGGCTAATTTGTTGTAGATGTTGTTGTTTAGGGCCATAATAAAGACAAAGCTTTAGTGTACCCCATCTACCACAGGCCCGGCTGATAGGAATCAGTCAGGCCTTTATCTCCCACCCTCTAATCATTCACTCGCTCTTGTGCCTCTGGCACCCTCTATCCTCATTTTTCTTCTTGTTATTTTTATAGTAGGACAGTGATGTTAATTATGTTATTTATCTTGTTGTAAATCATTTCTTAAACAAATATTTCTTTATTGTCTTTTGTATGTCAAGCATAATTTCTTCAGCCATCTACTTCATTAAGAGTGATTCATTCACTAGATATAAAACCATGACTGTAAATACATTTACAGAATACTGGGAAAACTCATTGGATAATACATGCTTGGAGAGCCCCGTGATACATAAATCACAAATAGTGGGGAATTATTAGATTAACGAACATGTTCAACTTGGTTGAAAATGTTATTTTAAGAAATGATGTCTTTAAACACAGTTGCTGTACTAAGTCAGAATTATAAGGCTTATAGAATTTTAGAGGTTACATTACTTCAGTGACATGATTAGATATCTAGATTGTATGCTTTTGAAGTATAAATAACTGGATAAATCTGAAAATATTTTAATAAGTAATAGCATTATTCACAAAGTTGATTAAGAACATGTCTTGGATTTCTCTGTATCTATGTAACCCTGCCCTTAATCCCCACAATGCCTGGAAAGGAACACAGCTTTGCCCAGTTACCAAGTAAAACCCATTCTTACCCTTAGCCAATCAGGAAGATACCCAAAGTCCCAAGGATGCTGTAACACTACCAAGCTGATCTGTTCCCGTCACCCTTCCCTCAGGGTCCACTTCTTCTCTTACAGACATTGAGAAGTCTCCTTATTGCCTGGTTTTCCTCTACCCTTCCTTTTTCTAAGCCTCTCTCCTGAGGTCCTGGCTTCATCCTGCTGTTGCTCCTCAGATTGTCACCAATTCCCACTTGCTCTGGACCCTCATCTTCTTTAAATGTGCACCTAAACAGGCCCACCACAAGTCCAGATGGTGCCTTTGTGCAGGATCAAAAAAGGCCTCCCTTGTTGGAACAATTACATATCCATGTGCAAAAGAATAAACTTAGACTCCTACCTCACACTGTAGACAAATATTAACTCAAAATGGATCAGACATCTGAATTTAAAAGCTAAAATTAGGGGCCGGCCCCGTGGCTTAGCGGTTGAGTGCACGCTCTGCTACTGGCGGCCTGGGTTCGGATCCCGGGCGCGCACTGATGCACCGCTTCTCCGGCCATGCTGAGGCGGCGTCCCACGTACAGCAACTAGCAGGAGGTGCAACTACAACGTACAACTATCTACTGGGGCTTTGGGGA